CTCTGCCCCGCCCCGCTCCGCCCCGCCCTCTGGCGCCCAGTGGGCGAACGGCCATGCCCCCTGGCGCCCGGCAACCTTAAATGGTTGGGGACCACTGCCTTAGAATGCCTTGCATCCAAAGGCTACTGCTTTAAAAACGCCCCAACGTCTCAGATTCCCTGGCTGTGGGTGGTATGCTGCCACCACCCAAATGCAAAAACCGCTGGAAAGCCAGGAAGATGCACTTGGGAATGTTTCCCTGTAGGGTAACCCTGTTCTCTAACCCTCCCTTAGGAGAGAGCTTGAAAACAAACTGTAATCTCTTAATAGCAGACCTTCAGTTTTAGGCACATGGACAGAGAACCTCGTGTCTTCTAGGGGACAGGAATTAGATTATAGCCTTAAAAGGGTGATTTTTTTTTAATTAACAAAACAAAGTTTTATTGGTAAAGCATATTTGGTTGCTAGGTGTTAGAGCCACTAAAAACAAATTAAAGCACAGAGAATTGCTTCCCTGGGATTCAGTTACAGTGTACAGGGTTTAAAAAAAATCCCAGAAGTCCTACATACCAAGAAAATAAAAAAAAATAACCTGGTTGCATTTAACTAAACATTCCCTGTTGTATTTACCTCTCTGATGTTCTGTAGTTTAAGTTTTCTTAGACATGGATATTTCTGGGAAATCCATGCCTTATTCCTGCTTTGTACATTCTCTCCCAGTGCCTCTCTGAGCTCACATACAAGGGAGACTGAAGCAGGCAAAACTTTTTTAATTTTAAAAAGTCTCTCACTCTTCCCATTGGCTCTCCTGGCTCCCTGTCAACACTTCCTGGATAACCCACTGTTCTGGATTTAACCCGTTAGTTACTGAATGCTGGGATTTTAGAAGAGAATAGTACCCCTCCCATCCATCACAGGGTGTCGTCTTAGGTATGGCATTTTGCTGTTGCTGAAGAGACGTGGGATGATGTGTGGCCATTTTTGGATCACATGGACATGACAAGGACAACAGTTGAAAATTCCGAATTCCCAATCCAGGAGAAAATGGGAGAAGTCCTGGAGCCTATTGGGGGCTTGAAGGTAAACAAATTTTTTTTCTGGCCTGGTGTGGTAGTATATTTTGTTTTAAATTACATTAATATTCCTGGAAACGTGTGTTGATTAAACTGAAATTTTAGTCCAAATTGGATACAATTGTTTTAAGATCTACCTACTTACCTCCCTCTGCATCTAATTTCTTACATTGGTGTCCATTACCAGTGCCTCCCAAATTCGTCCAGTTATAACAAGAAATATGTCAAACAAAATGTAATGTCTTGTCCCAATTCATTACCTCTGTATCAGAGAGCGACCACATGCTTTGGTATGATTGGCAGTCCCTGCTAATACAGTCATGTGTATCTGCAGGAGTGGGTTCTATGGTAAATATAGATTCACTTATAGAATTCTGTGGAGAAGCACACACATCTTTTGTCTGTGCTACATGTCTTGTTTAATAGTATTGACTTTTCCTTTTCATGTATGCCAGTGAGGATGATAAAGGGTAAGAAGGCAAGGTTCCCCCCTCCCCCAAAAGAATCTTCATAATATATAATTGTAATTCACAGACGAAACTCAACAGCTTTATATTAGTGTAATCCTTTGCCTTCTAGTGGAGAGTGCTTGTCAGCTTTCACGGAATGACGCCCTGGCTGTCTTTTGTTTTACTCTGGCATACTCTGTGTGACCCTCTCTGTTGTAGATGGGAAATCTGTAGGATCTACTCGATGTGGTTTCATCGAGGCACTCAGTAGGAATTTTGCAGTTAACTTCAGTTTGGGAAGGAGCAGGTCCTTGTGCAACTATGGCTGAATGTATTTGAAGCTGCTTAGTCAATATTACCAAAGTCCCTCACTGCTTGATGAGTTAGGGGATTGAGACCAGGATTCTTACTGGTAAAGTTAGGGAGGCTCCTTTGGTTGGACATGTTGTGCCCCAAAATATGAACACTGATATGTAGATAGGAGTAATAAATGACTGCAGGTTGAACCTCCCAAATCCAGGACTCTCTGGTTCAGCAACATCTGTGGTCCAGCAGAGATCAGGAGCTTTGTGTGCTGCACCACCCCCCAGCACAATCCCATTGGCCAGAAACCAGCCAATGGGACCTGCCTGTTTAAAGAACAGGCACACGCATAGCACCCCTCCCTCTTTACCTTCAGATCCACGTAGCCCCTGCACTCGGGGCAGGCAGGGAGCCTAGCCTGCCTGAGAAACAAGCTGGGCTGCTGGCCTGGGAGTCACCCAGGTAAGTTTACTGGCAGAGCCTGCCTCTAGCATCCCAGCCCTTCTCCCCTCCCCCCCAACCCTCTGCCCTCCTACACCTGTTCCCCTGCCCCACATAACCCCAACCTCCCTGCTCCCTTCTGCACCCATAGCCCCTCCCAGGCCGTGAACTCACAACCCCTCTCCTGTCCTAAGTCACAGCCCAAATCCCTCTTCCATAGGGCACAACTACGTCCTTTACCCAAACTCCCTCCCAGATACCTCCTCCCCTGCCCCACAGTCCCTTACCCCAAGCACCCTTCTGCACCCAACCTCCATCCTAGATCCTGCACCACCTTCATTCATATCATGGAAGAGTGTGGTCCTTGACCACTTTCCAAATTCTTGATGGGATCTGTCATGGCTCCTTCCCCACTCTGGCACAATAAATGCAGAAGTGGGGGTCAGCAGATGTACCCCAAAACCTTATCTACCAGGCTTTGGTATAAAACTTCCGCCAAAATCTCAAAACCCTAGATTTTGTGAATAAAACTTCTGCTGCCACCACCCAAATATTAATAACGATATTAGGGGAAAGATCATTTGGGAAATCTCACCCCAGAATAAAAATCAGGGCACACAATTAACCAATGCCAGGTTAATAAAAAGAAAAGAAATAACTTTTATTATTACAACAATATTCCTGTTGCAAGCATAATGACTAGATGGGAAGGTAACAAAATATACTCATGGAGAAACTCCATGGGCCTAGAACTTAGTTACAAAGAAAAGCCAAAACATCTTTTAAACAGTGCCAGGTATCAGATCCCATACCCAGCCCTTAAAACAATAAAGCCTAACGAAACTACCTAAACGTTACCCTACTTACAGAAAGTGAAGAATTGATTCTTGGAGAGAGAGAGAAACATGCTTGTCCCTCCCTGTAGCTGCAGAGGACTCACCCAGAGAGACAAAAGGAGAAAGGAAAAAAACCCAAATTCCTTTGTCCCAGTTTGAAAGTCCCACCTATTTACCTACTGGTCACTCCACCTGGCTAGGTATAGTTAACTCCTTAATCCCCAGGCTGCTGGCTAACCCTCATAATCATGACAGGATCTTCCCCCCTTTCAAAAAATATTGCCCACCCCTGGTATAAGTTAATGTAACCCTTTATGAATGCAGAGTTTTAAATGGACGACAGGAGAGACTAGCAGAGGGGCATAAATTGTTCTAGTGATTGAGGGCAGCAGAGGGATCAGGAAGGGTAAATAACTACATGTGTCTTGTGCATTACTCTAGCTTGTTAGCTACCATGATGTAGTTAGGGATCATGATGAGAGCGGTGCTAGTGGAGTAGTGAAGCCAGATTTGAGCGGATCAAGGGAAGAGCTGGAAGAAGTGAGGAGTACAAGGGGGGGCTTGACTGGGGTGAGGATGGGCTGACCTGTGAGAGCAAAAAGGTTGGGGTGAGGAAAGATGAGTAATGAGAAGAGCAGACAACACAGCTTGTACGAGCAGGAGAAGGGAAGGGGAGATCACAATAGATTCAGACATAACTGCACAGCTATTAGACAGCTAGTCTTTAGGAACATTGAAATCTCTCTGCTGGAGCTGAACACTCCATCTAGTCCAGTATCTTGTCTGACATTGATGACTGTCAGGTACTTTAATAGGAAGATAAAGTCTGTAAAAGACAATTACAGAAAAAAACGTTCCTGAGATTAGTCCTCGGCCCCATCAGTTACTAGTTGGCTTGTGTGTAGAGCATGGGGGTTTCTGTCCTTTGTGGTTTATCTCAGTTCACTATGGATTGTTCTCGTGCTTTGAGTGCTGCATACGAGCAGCGATTTTCATTGAGCTATTGAAATCAGTGGCTATGTCTTTCCCAAGTGGTTGGTTAATTTGCAACCCAGCAGTGTCTGTTAATTTAAATTATTCTTTCCGAATGTGCATTACCTTGCATTTGTCAACACTGAACTTCATTTGTCTATACGCTGCCTGTTTATCTCGTTTGATTGCTATTTCAGGAGCTCCCTACAATCATGTCTAGCCTTGACTATCTTAAATAATGGTGTGACTTCTGCAAATGCTGTCATTTAACAGAAGTATTTCATAGAAATACAAGTGTGCAAGAGACCTTGAGGTCATCTAGTCCGACCTGCCGTGCTGAGGCAGGATTAAGCACCTGAACCCTCCCTGATGGATGCTTGCCTAGCCTGTTCTTAACAGCCTTCAAGCATGGGGATTTTGCAGCCTCCTTACATAGCTTGTGCCAGTGCATTAGCTGATCTTTCTAGTTAGAAGGGGGGGGGGGTTCTTGGAGATTTTTCCTAATTTCATCCCCCTTTCCAGTAAATTAGAAAAGACAAACAGCAGTCCTAGTACAGATCTGTGACTGGGTATTCAGTGAACTTTACATTACAAGGTAAGGTTTTCTTTAACTAAAAATTGAGCTGCCTGGCCAGTCTCTGTGCTCACTTGGTCATTGCCCATCTTGCTCTGCCTAGGGTCACTCTTAGCTAGAATTGAGGCTTTTTTACAGCTTGCTAAGACATGAGCAGATACGGAAGCTTGTACGTTGCAGTAAGCAGCCAGCTTCCTTGGAGAATGTGGAGGAGGTGCAGCTCTCTGGCCCTGGTTTTGTGCATTTGAGGGTGGCTTTTTTTGACCAGTTGCTAGAATTCCAGCTATGCCTGGCTGCTTGACTGTATGGTGACCAAGACAGTCGATGAATTGCAGGTGCACTGATCTCGCACTCCGCTCTGTTGTATAATTGATTGCAGACACCTGCCTCTCCTGGAAATTCATCAGATCCTGTTTTGTCCAAATCACTAGAAGAGTTTTATGTCTCCCTATTCTGTTCCCAGCCCTCAGCAGAGCAGAGTCATTTGGAGCCTAATCCAAACAAAATACCTCCCAACGAGGTTCAGTTTCTTGAATCACCGCCAGCCTCTGCCTCTCTTACATCAGCACCTGTATCTTCAGACAAGCAGAATGGTAAGGTTCATTTCTATGTGCATTCCACTGCCCTATTTGAATGCTGTCGCTAGAGCAGTGTGATCCTGGTACTATTTTTATTAATGGCACTGCTGTGTGGGTTCTGGTATTGTCAGACGTAACTTATAGCCGGAGGCTGGGCTCAGGAATCCCGGGGCTAAGGCACTGGTGTGTGCTCTCTGTTGCACTGAGTATGTGGAATCTTGGCTTCTCTGTGCATTGAGAGATGGCCAAGACAGTGACTTTGGGCTCATGCAGTCCTTGGACCCCCATGCGCAGTAAAGAGGACTGATAAGTGTTTCATGGCGATGACGTTGAATTGAGGTTTCTACCTCTTGGTTCACTTCCCTGCCACATCCAGGTACTTTGGGTTACCTTTGTCCAGCTGTTATCCCAAATATTTTTGCTTGTCTTTATTCAAATGTTAGAATTTCCCGATATTCCATGGACTCACGCGGAATCCTTGAAATGCCAGGAGATATAAGACCATAGGATATGAGAGAGATTGAAGCCCTTTGAGCTCCCATGTCTGTCCTTTCTCTGAATCAAAATTTGATTTTAGCTTCATACCACCCCTTTGACATAATGGAATACTTAACTCCATTTTACAGGGTAAAATAAATGACTTGTCAAAGGTCACATAGTATGTTTGTAGTAGAGCTGAGAATCCAGTTCTTCTGAGTCCCAGTCTGGTGCCCGAACCATTAGACCATCCTTCCACCTGTGTGTCTCATTTTCTATGCAGGGGAAGTCATCCAAGAAAAGGTGAAGAATGAGGACCTCTCTGGGACCCAAGTTATCACACTGAATAGCAGCAACAGCTGCACTAACCGAGGGACTGAGAAGCAGAATTCCCTGATTCTAGCTGCTGAGCTCCAAGTGTCAAAGAGGCTCTACATCCCTCGCAGCTCGCCTACTGCAGCATTGGGAGCAGCTGCACGCTTGGCTACCTCCAATGGCCTTTTTCACTGGCTCTCTGTCCTGAGAAAGCTGGAGACATGAGGAGGAACCCCAGCCAGTGGCATGGTTTCCCAAGAATGGAGTTTAATCCACTTGTACTGCACCAGACCAGATTGAGAAACAGCAGATACCCCTTCAGGGGTTGGAGCTCCTCCGTCACTTCTCCTTGGCCATGAGAGATTCATTCTCCTTATAACTAGAGCCTGGGGTCTCTTTGAACGTGCCTGTGTGTACAGGATAAATGTTGCTTTTTATTTTCAGTGAAGATGGTTATATTCCTTTTTTTGTACTGCTGTGTTATGACTGTTCTTTTTAATAGAGTGGTTTCAACTGTTTCAGTATTGTTTTTATGGTGCGTGTGTGTGTCTGTCCCCCAGAAGGTGGAAGAAGGAAATTGGGGTCAAATTTGGCAAATCATGTTAAAAGCAGATCCATCACCTAATCCTCTTTCTTGGTAGTACAGCCAGCAGTCACATCCCTAGGTCAAGCCATTCAGCCTCTGCTGAGCTCTGTTAACCAGTAAATAGCCGACCTCCTGTCTTGATGCATCTATATAATGCTAAAACATGGTGGCTTTTCTTCAAGTGGATACAGCTGTGTAGTCAGCTTACGTGTGCGTGCCCCAGTACACCAGAGCCGGAGAGCTTTGCCTAACAATGCTTGTAGAGCTGAAGCTTATGCCGTTGGGACCTTAGCTCCTCCCTGCAGTGCTGTCCCACGCCCCTCAGTTCCTTCTGACCGGCCACGGCTAGAGTGGCTCTGTCGTGTTTCACTTCCTCCTTTTTCTTCTGCTTCTGAGCACGTTTTTTGTCGTGTATGTAGTAGTTAGTAATACCTTTCATTGCCGTGCGAGGGTAGTGTTGGAGTAGTTGGCTACTGTCTGCAGTGCCCTGGCTAAGGTTCAAGCATGGTCATTGCGTGTAGGTGCCATCTCCCAACCACGTGAGGTGTGCTTACTGTGTGTCTCTGGAAGACACTTTAAAGATCAGTGTCCCATCTGCAAGTTGCTCACAAAGAGGACTCGGGTGGCAAGAATATTGTGACTGAAGCGGCACCTGCTAGATCAGACCGTGAGGCCCACTGTGGCACAGAAGCCCTTGTCTGATTGTCACTGCCCATTGTGCTTCTCCGAGAAGAAGAGAGGTCGTTCACCCTTCTCTGCGGTGGAGGGGAAGCGGCCTCATAAAGGGAATCAGGACCATTCTAGGGTTAGGGGAAACTCCTCCGCTTCTAAAAGGAGTGGTGATTAGCTCTAATCCTCTGACGGGCAGGACCGAACATATCACTGAGAGCCTGTCTTACCGAGGTTTGAACCACAGGCGTCTGAGGAGTCTGGTACTGATGAAATCTGCACTAGTCCTGAGTCTGTGTGGGTGGCATCAGACCTTTACCTTTCAGTCCCAGAGCCCCCACTGGTTCCGGAGTGCTCTGATGTCACCGTTTCTACCACATCGCTCTCCATTGTGCCGTTGGCTTGTCCCAGGTGCATCCCAGAGCCTCGTTGGCACCGTAATTTCCCCCTCCCAGGCCTTGGGTTATGCAGTGGAGATCGATGTGGGGCCTGACACCAAAAGGCTCCTCAACACTCGCAAGTACTTTGGCACTGTCCTCTTGGCAGCAGATCCCTTTGCATCGGGTGCAGTCCTTAGCCTTGGTTCTGGGTGGGAGTGTATCTGGTGTGCTGCTCCAATTCCTTTTCGGCATGAATCCCAAAAGATTTTTGGGCTTCAGAGGAGTCTTCTCATTTGCCATGTTGGGGATGGCTCCTCCACTGTCACCAGAGCACCACCAGGACTCCTCGGGACCCAAATTGGGGTTGTCCTCTTCTTTGTCCTCACATGAGATTGCACCAGAGATTGCATTTGGCTCGTTCGTACTGAGACTCGCATCTGCCCCATAGTTGGGACAGGGGTTCTTTGCCTAATGCCTGCTGGCCACCAGTGTCTTATCCATATGTCTGGTGCCCTCCTGGGGATGCTACGTAGTCCCTGAGGTCTCGCTCCTTGACCTGCTCTAGAGCGAGACCACATGAGTGGAAGCAATAGTCAGGACTCAGATCAGCTCCACTGCAAGCAATTGCTGAGCCTTTCCCCGCTGCTCTTTTGCGGTTATTCCAGCCGGATCCTGCCATGCAAGAACAGGACCCATCGTGGGTCTAGCAAACTACTTGCTTGTCTGCCCCAACAAATCTACTGAGCTGGAATCTTCCTCTCCCTCCTCTTCCCAGCAGCCCCCTACCACATATTAAACCTCTCCTTTTTGGGCCCCACCCCAGAGCCTGTGGCGGGTCACAAAATCTACTAGCTGCCCCCCAGGCATTGGTGTGTAAGGGGAATGTGGGGAGTGTCTGTCTGCTTCTGTCAGGGGCCATTTCAATGAGGTGCGTGAGGCTTTTTGTTTGCTTCTCATTTTTGTGCAGCCCCCAGCTGATTTTTCCGCGGGTCAGTGGCCTCTGATCCAAAATAGTAGTAGAAGCTCAGAATTAAGGCTGGGGCCTGAGCCATTCAGCGCAGTAGAGGAGAGAGAAGCTTGTTTTTCCCCTCAGGTTTCCAGCTGAAACCTTCCTTCTGTTTTCCCGGTTGGCGGTTTCATTAGCAGTTTGCTCTGTGATTAAGTTGCTGAGCTGCCGATTCAGCAGGTTTTCCCACTGACTCCATAAACAGAGCCTGTTTGACTCCGCTTTGCGTGGGCTCTTGGCTGCATTAACCTGTTTTCTAGCGTGTGACGTTCTCCTTCCCTGCCTGCGTCACCAGCTCCTCTCTAGCGCACCCCTTCCCCAAACTCCTTCCCAGCTGGTGAAGCCACCGCTGCCTTCCGGACAAGTGACTTGTCCACCTGGCCAGCCCCCACCTGTTTTCTCCCCAAGCGGCCTGAACTTTCTTGCCACCTTGTAAGTAGCATGACTCCCTGTGCTGCTCCCCTTCATGAACCTAGCAGCCCCACACGGCTGAGAGAGACCCCTTCTTCTCCCAGCTGCCTCGTCCCCCCACTGCCCCTTGACAAGTCGACTCCCCCGTCCAGCTGCTGAATGTCACCATCTACGTGGCAGTTCTAATAACCATGTTCTGTCTGGTCAGTGGTCTCAAACGTCGCCACTTCGCCCACCCCTTCTGACAATTACTACACAACCTCAGGGCGAGGGACCAAAGTCAGCCCCCTGCCACTCTGGGGGGGGGGAGGGCTTAATCCCTATGCCCCCAGCAAATCAGAGCCGGCCCTAGTGACCCCATTAACATGGGGTCTCCACCCACTTTGGGGTCTTGAGTGACCCAGTTTGAGACCCACTGATCTAGGTTCTGCTCAGACAGGCAGCAGTTCTCAATGGGGGTGGGGACCATGTGCCGTGTCAGGGGGCTGCAGAGCCCTGCTGCTGGAAACTAGTGCCCTGAGTCCCAACAACCTCCCGCCTGGCTGAAGCTGGGAGCAACAGGGGGCTAACACCTCGAGCTCCCCTCCCCTGCCAGAGACAGGACCGGCGGGGCTGAAACCAACACTGGCAGAAACCTTGAGCTCGTGAGTGGAGTTGAGGGGGCACAAGGGAGTTACCCCCCCCCCCCAAAAACTGCAGTGCCTTACCCAGTGTGGACAGTCCTGCGGGGCAGCTCCACCCTTTTCCTTCTCTCACCCAGCTCTCCTCAGGCCAGGTCCTATGTGGGGAGCCAGAACCAAGCAGTGTGGGGTAGTGGTGCTCCTCTGGGTGGCAGCCACGATGGAGTTCCCTGACTACTGCCGGTGCCCAGGGTTGTGACTGCTCAGTCAGCCAGTCACAGCTGCCCGGGCGGCTCCAGGCCTAGCAAAGCACTCGGAGCCCCTGGCGCACAGCCCCAGATGGATGCCTGCTGAGGTAAATCGTGATGGAGGTGGCATGTGCCCTCTCTGTGCCCCCACAGGGGTCATAGTGGACCACAAGCTAAATATGAGTCAGCAGTGTGACACTGTTGCACAAAAAGCAAACATGATTCTGGAATGCATTATAGGAGTGTTGTGAGCAAGACATGAGAAGTCGTTCTTCCGCTCTACTCTGCGCTGGTTAGGCCTCAGCTGGAGTATGGTATCCAGTTCTGGGCACCAAATTTCAAGAAAGATGTGGAGAAATTGGAGAAGGTCCAGAGAAGAGCAAGAAAAATGACTAAAGGTCTAGAAAACACGAGCTGTGAGGGAAGACTGAAAGAATTGGGTTTGTGTAGTTAAGAAAAGAGAAGACTGAGCGGGGATATGATGGCAGTTTTCAAGTATCTAAAAGGGGGTAGTGGGGGTAGAATTGTTCTCCTTGGCCTCTGATGACAGGACAAGAAGCAATGGGCTTAAATTGCAGCAAGGGAGGTTTAGGTTGGACATTAGGAAAAACTTCCTGTCAGGATGGTTAAATACTGGAATAAATTGCCTAGGGAGGTTGTGCAATCTCCATCACTGGAGATATTCAAGAGCAGATTAGACAGGCATCTCTCAGGGATGGTCTAGAACAGTGGTCCCCAACGTGGTGCCCGCGGGCGCCTTGGCGCCCGCCGGGGCATTTGTGGGCGCCCGCCGACAACCTGGGCCGGCCCCGCCCTGGGCACGCGGCGCATGGGAGGCGCCAGCCCCAGG